GTTTCACCATGTTGACCAGGATGGTCTTGATCTCTTGACCTCGTGATCCACCCGCCTCGGCCTCCCACAGTGCTGGGATTACAGGCTTGAGCCACCGCGCCCGGCCCGAGGCAGGGTTTTACTATATTGCCTAGGCTAGTCTCAAACTCCTGGGTTCAAGCTGTCCTCCCACTTCAGCCCCCTGGGAGTGCTGGAAGTATAGGCATGAGCCCATTTACATTAGTATGATCTTATAAGCAGTGTTCAAAACCAAACACTTAAGTATACTAGGTAACCATTCTTTGCTGTGTGACTTTTTTTTTCCTTGGGAGCTAATAATTGTTTAGTTCCTTGATTTTTTTAGACTTATGACCAACTCTAACCCAGCCTTTCTGAGTTGTCTAAATCTCCTCTAAATAAGTTTAGATTTATCAGGTATTATGATATTTTCATCTTGAGAGAAAAACTGAGTCTTCTCACCCATTCCAGTCTAAGCTGTTCTTCATGACTAGTACACAGCTGTCACCCAGGCATCTTCCTTTCCCGTTATCCTGGCATTTCCTTTTGTTTCTAGAGTTTTCTTCTTTCATGATTTATTCTTATTTTAGAGCAGCTCATCCACTAGCTTCCTGAGAAAGAGCATTTGCATATTTAAAAATGTCTCTTTTTTTTCCTCTTTTTTTTCTATTAACCATCAAGTCCAGTGAAAATGGCTTTATTTTGTTTTTACACTAAATAATTTGGCTCAGTATAAATCTAGGTATGAAAATATTTTTCTCACTATTATGAAGGCCTTGCTTCATTGTCTTGTAGCTTCTGTGCTGTATTGAGAAGTGTGATGCCATTTTGTTTCTTCATTCTTCATTCTTTGTATATGACTGGTTTTGTCTTGTTGGAAACTTAATTAAATCTTTTTTTTTTTTTTTTTTTTTTTTTTTTTTTTTTTTTTTTTTTTGTCTTCATAATTCGTGAGACACTTGTGAAATTCATAATACTCTTTGGTATGTGTCTTTTCACCCAGTGTGCTAGGCACCCAGTAGTCATCTTTGAATATGGAAACTCCTATCTTTGCTTTTGGAAATTTTATTGAATTCTATTGGATTTCCCTCTGTCTTTTCTCTTTTCTTTCTAAAATCCTAAATTTGTATGTTGGATGTTCAGTACTTCCTTCTCTCTCTCTCTTTTTTTTAATCTTTCTTCCCACTTATTAACCACATCTTCATGTTTTTGTTCTGCTTTTTGGGATTTTCTCATCTTCCAGATTTTCTACTTTTTATTTCTGCGTCATATTTTTAATTTCTAAGCATACTGCTTTATTCTTTAAATGTTCCTTTTTATTTATGTCTATATTTATTTACAGCTTCCTGACTTTACTTGCTAGATACAACATTTTTATCTACTTTCTTAGGTCTACTCGGTCTGTTACCACTTGTCTATCTGCTTTCCAGCTTTCATAGATTTATCACTTTCTGCTCTTTGTCCTAGTGAATTTTGCCTTTAAAATCAAAATAATATTAAACAAAAAAATAAAATTTTCCTGGTATTTTAGAGAAGTTTCAAGAGGGAGGGAATATAAATGTGTGTTGGATCTTCTATCTTTATCTAGAAATTTGCTCGTGAGGCTTTGATTTTTTTTTTTATGCTTGGCATATATGCTAAAATTTAAATGCTTTCATTAATTTGAAAGTTTAATTACCTTAACAAAACTTTATGGTGATTTTCCCATGTGAGGTTGCCTGCATAGGCCTATTGAAGTCTTGGTAGAACTTCCCAAACTAATAATCAGAGCTTTTCACATTTTTGTTGTGGGATGGGGGAGGATGGATTGAAAGGAGAAAATGTAATTTTTTTCTCTTTTTTCGCATCTTTCCAAAGATTGATCTAGTCTTTGCAAGACTGGCAATACAAACCATATCAGATAATTTAGACCTAAGAGACGACTCTCGCCTGAGAAGCCTTGATATAAGGTGTATTCGCAGCTTAAATGGTAAGCTTCTAAAAAGAAATCTCAGATGCCTGCTTCAAAACAATTAGAGAAATATAGATATTTTTGCAGAATTGACTATTAATTGACTTTGGGGATTGGTCTGAGTTTAAAGTGTTGTAATTTTCTTTATACACATTTAAGGATAACCACATTTAAGGATCCTTCCACAAATTTATTTGAAAGGCTGTGTATGTTTATAGTAGTGGTTCTCAAACTTACTAGTCTCAAGACTCCTTTACATTCTTAAGATTTATTGAGGACCCCTAAAAGCTTTTGTTTATGTGGGCTATATCTGTCAATATTTACCACGTTAGAAGTAAAAACTGAGAAATTTTAAAAATATTTATTGGTTCATTTAAGAAATAATGAACCCATTTTAAATTAATATGAACTTTTGTTTGTGAAAAATGGCCTTTTTTTTTTTTTTTTTAACATTTTGCTAACCTTTTTAATATTTCACCTGATAGAAGACAGCTAGATTCTCATTTGTGTCTACAGTCGATTCTAATATTTCGTTTTGGAAATATTAGAATCTTCTAATATAACATACAAGAAGAAAACCTGGCCAGGTGTGGTGGCTCATGCCTATAATCCCAGCACTTTGAGAGGCTGAGGTGGATGGATCAGTTGAGCCCGCGAGTTCCAGACCAGCTGGGTAACATGGTGAAACCCCATCTCCACCAAAAATATAAAACATTTAGTTGGATGTAATGTTAACTCTCCTATAATCCCAGCTACTCAGGAAGCTGAGGCGAGAGGATCACCTGAGCCCAGGAGATGGAGGCTACAGTGAGCCCTGATTACACCGCTGCACTTTAGCCTAGGTGACAGAGCAAGACCCTGTCT